CTGGTTGTTGTTGATAGCCATTCCAAATGGCTGGAGGTCGTGCCTGTGTCTTCTACCACAGCTGCCAAAACTATTCAAGTGTTGAGAAACATTTTTGCTGCACACGGGTTGCCAGATGTTCTGGTGTCAGATAACGGTCCTCAATTTACTTCTACTGAGTTTCAGGGATTCCTACAGGCCAACATGATCCACCACGCTGCTTCGGCTCCTTTCCATCCTTCCACCAACGGTCTGGCTGAACGGATGGTCCATGTCGCCAAGGACGCCCTCAAGAAGCTGACTTACGGCAATTGGCATCACAGGTTGGCTGACTTTTTTCTAGCCCATCGTACTACTCCGTGCACTGCCATGGGTAAGTGCCCGGCCGAACTCCGCTGGGGTCGTCGGCTCGTGACTAAATTGGACAGGCTGCATCCGGAGCGTGTAGCTTCACAGGTGTCTCAGCCACACCCACCACGGGTCCTGCGTGAAGGCTATCCTGTCTGGGCCAGGAACTACGGGCCTGGACACCTCTGGGTCCCGGCTGTGGTCTGCAAGGTCTCGGGGCCTCTGTCCTACGAGGTGTCCCTGGAAGACGGCCGCGTTCTTTGCCGCCACATTGATCAGCTACGTGTGAGGCGGGACTCGCCTGGGGTTCCTCCTCAGTCTCCTCTAGGGGGAGAGGAGGAATGGGGAATGCATTCTGAGAATCAGAATCTGCTGCCAACAATGGTTGTGGGGAATGACACGGGCTCTCAACACCCAAGTTCCACAGGAGATTCAGGTAGAAATTCATGGGGATGGGGGCACACAGACACCCCCACACACACTCCAGCCTGGGAGTCCCACCGGAGGAATACTAATTATCCACACCTCACAAACAATACTCCAGACACGGAGAATAACTGGGAGCATACTCACAACTCACAACATGCAAGAGAGCAGGCAAAACAGAGGGGAAACACGTCCTTTGCTGAAATGGCTCATAGAAGGATGTCCCCACACATAAGGGCTAACAGGGAGGCATCCCTAGACCCTAACACTACAGGAAGGAGCCAGGAAAACCACACTCCGTCAGGAAACACGGAGATGAGTTCAGAGGGGTTGGAAAACTCCATAGGTGGTAGGTCAACCAGGTATAGCGATCAACAGAGATCTGACTTCTCAAGCCTAGGAGACGGGCAGGAAAGTCAAACAGAAGTCATAAGACAACCACAGGGCAATTCACCTAGTGTGGGAAGCAACGGGGAAAACACTACAGGTTCCCCAGGTCCGAGAAGGTCGCTCAGGGTCAAAGGCCCTCCCAAATACCTTGCAGATTACGTAAGGTGAGCATTGCAATAACTGAACTGGAGGTTCTGGCTGGTTGACTCTACGTACACGATGTTGGGCTATTGGGTCTCTGTACGACGGAACAGTCCCACATCTTACACACACCGTGTGACTTAACTCAATAGTTAATTATATAACCATCACTATGATGGCGTCCATGTGGGCGCCGTATTATTTCATCTAGGGGGGAGGGGTGTTGTGTCCCGAGCCTGCAAAAGCAGGCTCGGGATGTTGCAAGAGTCCCGGGCATTTGCAAAAGCTGCCCGGGACCAGACTGAGTGGCGCCGGCCTTGCGCGCATGCGCAAGGCGGGAAAAGACTGCCTTGTGATTGGTTGGATTTGCCCGGGGATCAGAAGGTATAAATAGAGGCCTGCGTGCCTCTGCTCGGGTTGTTCGTAGATTGGAAGCAGAGAATAAAGACTTGTTAGAAATGCTTCGTCTCAAGCGCCATTATTCTCCGGACTTAACAATTCCCATTAAAGAAATTCCAGGGCTGCAGGCCAGTCTGGAAAGTAAATAAAACACTCTGAAAAATCTCTTCTGTATCATTGCCAAAAAAAAGTTATATGAATATATCCATGACATCATCAGAAGATAAGCTTGACTGAATGAGATGTTACCTTTTACTTTTCCATATATTTCTCAGTTGCTGAGAAATCTGGAAGCAGAATGTGCTTTCACAGTGATTTGCAAAACAGTTGGTTGTAATCATAGCCCTAGTTAGAACAAGTGAATTTTTGCTATGAATTTCCTTCATGTTAAAAAAAGGCATTACTAGGGTTGTATTGCTCAAAAAGATAAATACTGTACACATGACTTACAGTTATTCATTCAGCAATGATTCAAAGTTATGGCAGCATTGAATGAAAGGACAAAGGACCACTGAGGTGTCCCCACAGTCACACAATCAAAATTTGGGTGCTTGGCAACCTCCCCTCCCAACTTATGATTGCAACTGCTTCAATTCCTCTGACCTGCCTATTTCCCCCCCACCCCACCTATGTCCTTTTGGCTTCTTGCACTGATAGTGGAAGCACCAAGCTCACCTTTAAAAAGTTACTTATGACCACATCCCATTAGTGCTCCATTGACGGCCACTCACTAATCCTAAAACTGAGGAATTAAAAAAATATTCTGGAAAAAGCAATAACAAACAACTTCTATACTGCTGTCATTAGAAAAGGAGTCCAGTTTGACTCGAAAGAGTTTTTATTTTTCATCCTTATGGCTCTGAGTGTACTTGAATCCATCCAATTATAGTCAGAGTTCAGTGCATTATATAAAAAGCAAAGTCAAGACTTTTAGTTTGATCTAATCTCTTGAAAATGACTCTCTCCTTCCAAGTGGAATAGAAATGCTCTTCTTTTCAATAAGAACAAGTATTTTCACCCCCTCTTTACGCACTCCAAAACGGATACCTTGACCAGCTATAAAACGCCACTTCTTTGAAGAAACTGCACTCAGACCTATCCTATAAAATCTGCTGCCAGAAATCAAGTCCTAGCGGCTTCACTTTTGCTGCCGCCACCTGGTGAAGCGTGGTGGGTCTTGCACGTATAGTAGTAGTCTCGTCTTTCTCCTCCACCACTCCCAGAGTCATAGAATTAGGGGCGGGAAAGGGTTATTGCTATTTCAAACTTAACAAAAATTAATGTTAAGAGATTTAGTCCGGTAAGATTCATTCATTTGTGAGTCTTTTCGCTATGTCATGATTCTTTGTGGTGGTTACATTTTTCTCATGTTTTATAGCCGGATGATCACTAGACACCAATTTGCAGCTCGGAGAAGAATAAAAACAGCTACTACAAAATCGTGAAATTACGAAGACGTTAACACAGCCAGAGCTGAAGCCGGGGCTGTCATCCGTGCCCTCCATTGCGCAACAGGCAGATGCACGCAAAGTTTTTTTAATGGGACGCTCTGGGAATCAAAAAGGCACGTCATTATACAATCGGGCACAGAATTTGGGCTGGGATGACTAGCGATATAAGGAACAAGTAAACTGACTGCAGGATAGCTCGTGTCATGAAGATTTAGCTCTGAAAGTCCAAACCAATTGCGCCTGCGCCCCTTGGGGTGGGTGGGCCAGAAGTTTATAAATTGGAGCAAAGATATATATATACATATATATATATATAGGCTACCACCAGATGGCAGAAAACATGCAGGAAACTGGAGCTCCCGGCGTCCGTCTAGTGGTCGTCCACTTATGTGCAGCTTAGATCTGGTACTCCACAAAAAGACGATTCGGTAGAACAGTAATTAAATGGTAGGAGTCCAACTTTAATCGATATTGGCAACTCTTCCTGCAATTCGGGAGAATAAGGGAAATTCCGCTTCTGAGAAAGCAAAAATTGTCATTTTAAATGCCTGTGATAAAATGTTGCCCACTAAAACTTAAGCCAAAATCCATAGACGAGTCTTTCGAGTGCCATGGGACTCGATCGACTGTACTTTGGTGTCAGGCCAGGGATCTCTAGCCCGCATGCGCCTACACTAAAAAAATGTTCCCGAAAGAAAAACAAGTCTTTTCCTTTTCCGGGATGGGGCGGGGCCACGGGGATTGCCCTGACTTAAGCGAGGAGGAAGCGGACACCGAAAATAACTGCCCGGTGCTTGGGCCGCTGAAGCAAGAGGGGAGGGGGTCCCTGGGCCGCGCGGCTCCTCTTCTGCCATGGACGGTGCAGCGCAGGAACAAGACGCGGTGAAGTTCGCGCAGGTGGCCGTTCAGAAGGATCAAGAAGGGAAATACCAAGAAGCGGCGTTTTACTACAAGGTGCAAGGCAAGGGAGGGGTGGTTGGGTGCCCAAAGGAAAGCACCGTGCGCTTGTGAATGGCACCCGGCGTGGAGGAAGAGGATCCTTCCTTAGCGCTTACCCAGTCGGAAGAGCCGTAGAGGCGGGTGGTGAGAGATAATAGGGCGCTATTTGATGAAGCAACTCATATTTGCCGCATATTTGCCGCTTATTCATTGGGCTAGAATTATTTCCCGCAGCTTCATCAAAGCTGGAACCTGTGCGCCTACTGACTGAATTAGCCTTTAATTAGATTAAGAACTCGGGGAGATAACTACCTTGAGTTTATTTTTCTCAGTATCATTATTTGTAGTTCTCTTAAATTGAGATCTGATTGGCTGAGGTTAACCTGAGGAATTAGTGGGGTCTCTTATGCCATTTCCAATTCTCTTCCCTATCTATTAATTATGACATTTGTATATGAAGGAACCGGATAGAGAAAACATGGGGAATCAAACTTATTCGTGATATTTAAATGAATTGACTCATTTTAATTCACATTTAAGTCCAGTGATCCTCATGCGTGTTTGTTAATATACAGCTGAACTCTAACCTCAGGACTGCACCCTATTTAATAAGCAACAAGGGATTAGAGCAATTTAAAAAAAAAACTGGACTCAATTATCTTATACTCATTAAATATAATGAGTCTTATACTTTTTATAGGCACAAATCCACACCTTGCAAAATGTGAGATATAACAATTTGGCCCCACATTGCAAACAGTGGGATGTAGTTATTTCCATAATAGTTGGAAAATCTAATTGTAGCATTGAAAGTTTTGTGCATGAGATGAGATGGTTTTATTTCTTAATTCTACACATTAGAAAGTAATTCTTATATGATTAAACAACTTAATTTGCTCATTCTGATTACTATTAATTTATCACTTATGGATAACATTAACTCGGCAGTTTGTACTTAATTTCTACTATTTCCTCACTGCAGTTGATGCCTAAAATCTGTAGGCTCCATGAAATATTTCCTATATTGGGGAAATGGTGATAGCATTATCTATCTAGAGCAAAATAGATATTAGGATAGTGTTGTAGAATTACTTGTATCAAATTGATATTTATGGTTAAATAGAGGAGTCTGAATATATTCTTGTTAGAATTGTGCTTGAAAGATCTGAGTACTATATACATCTCACCTTTTTTATAGAGGACCATAATTGGTCTGATAAATTTGATGTAAATCTGTGTATTAATTTCATAACTTCCCCTTGGAGATTGAGTCAAATCTATATCAAGAAACTATATCAAGAAAGAGAAATATTTTCTGGCACATGATTTAGCATGATGCTATAGTGAATTGAGCTATAGTGGGGCAACTTGTTCTGCAGCCTGCCTACTCATTAGCCAATGTAGCCAATCAATGAGTGTCTAAGGTTATTTACTAATAACATTTACCAGTGCTTTTTTTGTTAAAAAAAAAAAAAAAGGTGCCAGAACTCACATATGTCATACAACCCGCCTTGCCTACCCTACAAGGTTCCATCCAAAAAAGGTGCCGGAACTCCGTTCTGGGCGTTCTATGACAAAAAAAGCCCTGACATTTACAATTCCCATTGGCCTCAATATTGGGGCCTGAGGTTAAGCCACACAACTCCCACTTCAATTTTCAGAAGGACCAGTGTAGATTCCCTTGGCATAGTAGCAGCAGCAGTCTCTAGAATAGATTTTATTCTGTTCTTTACAGAAAAATGTTTACCTCACTAGGCCTTAACATTTTTGGTTCTGGAATGGAGATAAGGTAGTATTCTCTCCCCTCCCCCAAGATACTATTGCTGTAGTCTGGAAGATGTAGTAATTTTACAGTGGATGTTCTGTTCTTATGTCTGTACCGTAGTTGGTATTCTGAATTAATATCGTCCTCAGTATTGGTTCAGCCTGCTCAAAGAAGTAGCATGTGCTCTTCCTGTTACCATATAATTCCTCAGAAATTTCTAAAATATTGTGACTGTGAAGAAACTCTGGGCCTAATTAAGATTTGGCAGGTTAAATCACTTTTGTAAGGTAAATAAGTATTTTTAAAGGAAAAAAATTATGATCACATCATGTTCATGTTCTACTGGTTAAGTTCTATTCACATGGATATTTTTTATTGTTTATTTTTTGTTTGGTTTTTTTTTCTTTTTGCATCTCCTGAAGATTTTAAGAGTGAGTTTTTTAAATGCCTTCCCAATTCTAATTTTGAATAACAGGCATAGGGAAAAAGTGCTCAGTAATTGCATATTGTTCCATTGGAGCTGAATAAATCTTTTAATTTCCTAGATACATTATAAAACTTGTTTGTATGGGTAACCAAAATTGTCTAGATGACCAAAATTATATAGACCAGTGGTTCTCAACCTGTGGGTCAGGACCCCATTTGGGGCCGATCGACCATTTCCTGGGGGTCGCCAAGCAAGGCTGTCCGCCATTTTTTTTGTCTGCCATTTTTTTGTCCGCCATTTTTTTCCCCTTTTCCGGCGGGTGCCTTACCTCCCTTGGGCTGGGCCAGCTGGTGGTCGGCCTGCTCCGTCTCTGCCGCTTGCCAGCTACGCCTCGGCCGGCGCAGGGGGCGGAACCACACATGCACGGTGCTCCCGGGCAGGGAAAGTCCTCGACTTACGACCGGTTGGGTAGTCCTCGACTTACGACCGGTTTAGTCCTCGACTTACAACCGGTTTAGTCCTCGACTTACAACCGGTTGGGGTCGCGGCATTAAAAACGTTGAGAACCACTGATATAGACAAAGCAATGAGAATTCTGATCTTGTATTGTCAACATCAGAAAGGCCTCAGAATGGCTGGCAAATCAAGCAGCCAGAGGACAGTCATTCGATAGATGGTTCCTAAAGATAAAAAATATTGTGAAAATTAATCCCTGTCCTATATGGTTATGTTATATGTAGTGGAGTCATAATGAATTATTGTTTTGTCTCCTTATTCCATGAATGTAGTTTTTACAGCTAATATTTCTATATAAGCTAATTATTTGCAGGAAAAATCTCATTTTATAAGGCATGGATATTTTGTGTGTTCAGAAATTATAATCAAACTTTTTAAAATATCTTAAGATCATATCCATATGTCTGCTTTAGTTTCTCCGCAAGGATTTGAATTTGGGAATATACCAAACCACTTATTTAATAGAGCAGTGAGGTATGTGCTTTAAAAATTATTAGCAGTACTTTGAACCTGAGTGAGCACAAGCACATACTTTCTACTATTAGCTAAATCAACCCAACATGTCTTAATGCAGTAGCATCCTGTTTGGGTTCATGCATGCTTAAGCCTGAACCAAGATAGCTTCTTTAACGAGGCCGCAACCTTGTGACTATTCCATCTTAAGAGCATATCTAAAGTCTGTTTTTAGATATTTAAAGGGGCCCAAATGAAGCTTTAAACTATATACCAAAGCCCTTGTAACTTCATTTTTTTTAAAAAAAATGAACATTTGGGTTGTGATCTCTCTGAGGTCATTGACCTGACTACCCTCTAGACCAGTGATGGCGAACCTTTTAGAGACCAAGTGCCCAAACTGCAACCCAAAACCCACTTATGCATCATCAAATGCCAGGTGGGTGTGGCCCATTGGCTGGGTGTGGCCCATTGGCTGGGCATGGCTGCGGTGGTAACAGCAGACTGGGTGGGACTAAGAAGTTCAATCAATCAATTCCAACTTTGCAAGATCTTTTTTTCCCCATGAGAAGTTGAAATTGACTGATTGAACTTTTTTTTTTTTTTTTTTGCACATGGTAGCGGAGGCCTAAAGCGAAAAGGTTTTATAAAACCCAGCTGTAGGATTGGGGCGACGGCGCGCGTGCCCACAGAGAGGGCTCTGAGTGCCACCTCTGGCACCCGTGCCATAGGTTCGCCACCACTGCTCTAGACTCATTTAAAAAAAAAAAACTTTAGTTTTATCCATAACTGGAAAAAGAGTTGTGTATTTGCATACAAATTTTGGGAATCCTTTGGAAAATTCTAAAATGTAATGAATCCTTTGAAAACCACTTGCCACATCTGTTTATACTGATATATCATTAAAGCTATTAGAAAATTTTATACTTGGGTTATGTTTTCTTTCCTCAGGAAGCTGCACAAGCCTTGATTTATGCTGCAATGGCAGGATCAACCTTAGAAAATATTCCAGGGAAAATAAGTGAATATTTGGAAAGAGTTCAAGCTTTATATGCTGCAGGTAAATAATAAAAATCTTTCTTGTTTTCACTGTCATTCTACTCAACAGTCTAATAGAGCAGGGCTTTTCAATCATACACATACCACCAGTGGTACATTGGCACCTGGCAGGTGGTAGCGACCCTGTCTAGCCTAGACAATTGTAGTGGGGAAGGGAATGAGCTAAAGTGGCACAGCACAGGACTTATCGTGATAGTCATCAGAAGCTGCAAGATTGCTGGGACGAGACAAAGGCCCCAGGATCGGCATTTCCGGCATACCCGGAATGGAAAGGAGGAGGAGGGCAGAGACAGGAGAGGATATAAAAGGAGACGGTTTTGGCAGGAGTGGGAGAGAAAAAAAGACACAGCCTTGGGAAGAGGAGTCAGCTGGATCTGCACCGAAGAGAAAAAAAGGAGGAAGGGGGAAGAAAGGAGAGGATAAAAAACAGACCGGACGGGAGCCAATCTACAACTTCGTGACAGCCATCCATGCTGGACACGTACACAAGTGGCAGCAAAAAACAGGGAAGAAACGCAGCTGGGGAGGGATCACCCTGCACAAGGAATGAAAAAAGTTAGCATCGGCTGGAGGTGACCAGCAATTGGTAGGTGACCATTTTGCCCTGTAGGCTGACTGCGTTCTGAGCGCTTCCCTTTCACCCGGGATGCCAGGACAGATGTGCTCGCCACCTCCTGTGCATGTGCCCAGGCAGATTCAGCTTCTCGCCAGCTTCGCCTCGCCCGGCCCAGCCTCTCCGTGCAGTGAGGAGAGTGCGCCACTGCCTGCTGAAACCAAACAGGCTGGGGGCTGGGCAGCATCATGCAGATAATGTGGACTTTCACGCTGCTTGCGGCGTTCTCTCCCTCAGAGCCAGGTGTGTGAAGTGGACGAGGGCCATTTTCTGGTCTCCTTCAGGGAATGATGCTTTTCTTCATTCCTCATGCAGGGTGGCACCTCCCCAGCTGTGTTTCTTGCCTGTTTTTCTCCCTCCCTCATCACAAATATCTTCCTGCCACTCTGCTCTTAAGGCTGTGTGGGTCTTGTCCAGGAATTTACAGTGGCCTTTCAAGCCATGGACACTGGCAGCATGGACACCGGTCACACTGGCAACCTCTACCCCTCCCCTTGTCCCTTCCTGGGCATGGAAGGAGGGAGGGAGGAAGGAAGGACATGGTAATGAGAGGCAGAGAGGGAGGGAGGGAAACAGGAAGGAAGATAGGAATGAGAAAGAGGGAGAGAGGGAGAGAAACAGGAAGGAAAGGAAGGAAGGAGATGGGAATGAGAAAGGGGAGGCAGGGAAGGAGGGAGGGAGGGAAACAGGAAGGAAGGAGATGGGAATGAGAATCAGGGAAGGCGGGAGGAGGAAAAAAGGAAGGAAGGAGATTGGAATGAGAGGGAGGGAGGGAGGGTCTGAGGGAAGTCCTGCCATAGCACTTGGCCACCAGCAGCCCTGCTGCCCTTTTGCTATCCCCTGGCCCCCTCCTCCAGGCCTATCCTGGTGGTCTCCCATCCTATCGCTAAGGATGCTTTTGCTACAAAGCCAGGTCTCCTCGCATGGAGAGGGAGTGCGCCTCCCTCTGACCCAAGCACTTTGCACTCCTGCACTCACCATGAGATCCTGGCCAAGGAGAGCAAGCACAGCAGCAGCCACCTCAAGGAGGAGGTAAGCGCAGCCAGGCGCCCCCTTGGGGAAGTGGGGCCGGACTGGGTTGGGCTGCAGGGTCTTGGTGCCCCGGGAGCTCGAGGGCCAGGCTGGGTGCTTGTCCTCCACTGCCCAGGGCTCTGGGCAGCTCACGCCAGTGTCCAAAAGTCCCCTGCGTGGCCCAAGAGAGACAGCGATGCTCCTCCAGTGGACCATACTCTGCGTCCACCCCCCTCCACCGGAGACCCCAGAGCCCCCCACAGCCCTGCTTGGCTTCCCCCACAGACGCCCCCGACCTGAGTGATGTTGAACTGGCCACCCCTCCCCTGGCCATTGACTTTGCTTGTCAAAAGTTTTCAAAAGGGGATCACATGACCCTGGGATACTGCAACAGTCATAAGTGTGAAAAATGGTCATAAGTCACTTTTTTCAATGCCATTGTAACTTCAAACAGTCACTATGCAAACTGTTGTAAATCAAGGATTATGTAAGTCAAGGATTACCTGTACTTTATCACTTTTTTCCTTTTTTTTTTTTTTTTTGGTAATCAAGTTTTTGACACCTTGCTAAGAGATTGGTGGTACTCAAATATTGCCATACCCTAAAAGTGGTATAATCGGTGAAAAGGTTGAAAAGCCCTGTAATAGAGCATCATTCCCCAAATCCAGAACCACATTTCTTCATGCAGGAAGTGAATACTTTTCATGGACTTACGAAATTTACAGAGAGGGCTTCCACTTTTTCTTATCTGTAGATATAGGAAATTTGTAATGTACAAAATGTCTTGATTCCTTTTAAGAACAAAAATATTCCATTATTTCTCTTAAACTGACGTAATTATTCTTTTTTAAGTTTGTCCAATCTCTCTGTTTTTGAGAACTCAGTTTAAATTGTTCTTGCATATGGTTTACCTTAAATACATCGCAGTTTTCATATGTGAACACCAAGTTGCTAATGAATATTATTTTATTTATTATTTAGCTATTATTAGCAGTGCTTTTTTTGTTAAAAAAAAAAAAAAGGTGCCGGAACTCACACACATCATACAACCCTTGCCTACCCTACAAGGTTCCATCCAAAAAAGGTGCCGGAACTCCATTCTGGGCATTCTATGACAAAAAAAAGCCCTGATTATTAGTAAGATTTATATCCAGCCTTTTATGCAGATATTGCAACTCTAATAAGAAAAGTTCATCAGTTACTAAATAAGGTGGGCTAATAATTTTCTCCCTAATTTAGTTCAATTGCAGAAAGTTGATCCATTGAAATCAAAGCAGCAGCTGGACTTGGAGCGTGCCCACTTCCTGGTTACCCAAGCTTTTGATGAAGATGAAAAAGGCAACAAAGAGGAAGCCATAGAGCTGTACACTGAAGCTGTGGAGCTCTGTTTGAAAACAGTACGTTAAGCTACCACTTAACTTGGTGGATTTATGTTATGGTAAGAAATCCTACCCTTTATTCAGGTGACTTTTCAGGCAGATGTGTGCATACATCCATATTTTCTTGAATGTTTTAGAAACCTGAATATACTACACCTGGTTAGAGCCAACAAGAAAGACCATGGAAGACAGTAAAGAAAATCTCTTCTTTATGGTGGGAAATTTCAGTAAAATAAATAACTAACCAGTATTTTGGATCAGGTTAGCCCTTTGAATTGCCTTCTAATTTTTATAGTAGAAAATATGATGTATGCGCACACCCTTCACCCCGGATAAAAAAGTGGTACCTGTATTTATATTCAGGAAGATTTTTCTGATTTGGAATACTGTTGGAAATTACTTGTCCTGAGCCTTTGTTTCAGATTTATTTTTTATTTTTTTATTTATTAAATTTGTTTGTTGCTTTTCTCGCCACAATGTTATTTTAACATTTTTCATATTAAAAGGATACTCTAGAGCAGGGGTAGGCAACCTTGGCTCTTTTATGACTCGTGGACTACAACTCCCAGAATTCCTGAGCCAGCCATGCTGAGGGGAAAGGGAGAGTTTCCAAGCTGAGCCATGTTGGCTCAGGAATTCTGGGAGTTGAAGTCCACGAGTCATAAAAGAGCCAAGGTGGCCTACCCCTGCTCTAGACCAATTTTAGGTACTTTGTCAAGCAAATGTGTAACAATACTTTTACTGAAATAGAAACAGAAGATTTTAGAGTTAGTGAGCTCCCTTTCCCTGAATATCTGTGATTTCTACTCCTGATCCATTAAGTTAAATGTTAAGGGGAGGGGGCGTTTCAGTATTTGTTGAAATCAGTGAAATCAGTTGTTATAATAAATTTGCTTCAGTGATTTCAGTGAAACTATGACCAGATAGACTATATCACAACCTTGCACTAAATTTGAATTTATAAAAACCTACTCCCAATAACTTCACTGTTTCAGCAAAAAAAGAAGCCTCAGAGCACCCAGGAGCATTCATATAACACCTATCTATAACTCCCAAACAGCTCTTTTCCTTGAATTAGGTAGCAGTTGTGGAGGATTGTTGGCTAGTTCTGGGAAAAACACAGCAGAACTGTAATGCATTTGGTTTGTAACCTCAGTCCAGTGAGGTTTGAATGTTGCAGGTACCACTTTTTTATACCATTTTAGTGAGTATTATAGGCAAAACGTCTTAGAGGAAGAATTCACAATCATGATGTAACTCCACCAAGTATAACTCCTCTCCTCTCCTCTCTCCTCCTCTTCTCCCCTTTCTTCAAAGAATCTTTGTATTTTGAGTAAAATTGAAATTAGTTTTGCTTTATTTCCTCAATTTTTTTTAACTCTCTCTGTTTCAACTGCTGGCATTAACATCAATATGTTTGCTTTGTTCATTAATTAAAGCTGGACTTATTACTGATGAAATCATTTTTCCTTTTACATGTCTACAATAATTATATGGTCAAGGATTGGAGGACCACATAACTGTTTAGTTCTCATTGAGAATTATAGTTACTTAAGTTGGATTGATTACAGTAGTGCTGTTTCCAATAAAGGAGAATATTTGTAGCTCAGGGTTGAAATGAGGCTCCTTGGTGCTCTCTATGATTGTTTTCTTGAAGACTTTTCATTACCAAATTAAATGCTGACCAAACTAGGTAACTTACTGAGTGTTAATTTGGATAATATCTGCAAGAAAACAGCTAAGCTCAGAAAGTACCAAGGAGCCATCATAGTGATATTTATATGGCAAGTATATTTTCATTTAGCCGGTTATATTCCTGCAGCATAATTATGGTAATTATGGTAAAGTGTGCTTTGTGAACCAAAAAATTGGATTAACTGTGGGTAAGCAGACATGCAGACAAAACCATTGTAAAGTGGCTATGAGCAAAAATCTCAACTGCATCTCAGAATACCAAAACATAAACATAGGAAATACTTAGTGGATTTAGTTTTTATTCATGTGCAACATCAGCTTCTAATCAATTGTGCCTAAGCAATTTCATTTTATATATTGGTGAGGAAAGGTGCTAATAATAGCCTGATATGATTATACCTTCTCCATTTTCTATAAACAGTTGTGTGGTAAATGGGAAAGAAAATTTACTGGCAGCTGATTTATTTTGTGGATAGTTTAATAGACGTTTTTGCTTCTTATTTTTTCAATATTCCAGTCTAGTGAAACATCAGAAACAGTTCTCCAAACAAAACTGAAGCAATTAGCTCGGCAGGCATTGGACAGGTAATTATTGGAATTTTGTACTCACAATCCAAATAACGGTCCAGACCTGTGAACATAAACATGTCTCAGGTATACAGGAAGACATTTTAGCTGTTTGAAAATAATTCTGAATATTTTTTTTTCATTTTAGTTTGTTCAGTATTGAATAAAACAAGGGTTGGCATAATTTCTAAATCAGAAGTCTTATATATAATCATAGCTCATATACATATGATTTAGGTTTTGTGTAAAGTAACTTGGAATAATTGAGTTGCACTTAATTCCCAGCAACTCATTAGTTTGGTTGGTGAGAGCAAAATCCACAATTTTGTTTGACCCTTGTGGGTTTTATGTTAATAGGGAAGCATATAAAAACAAAGCTTTAAGAATGAACCTACTCTTTTTGCTGAATTGCAATTGCCATTTCCTTTGACTTAATTGTAGAGCTGAAGCACTGAAAGATTCAAAGCCATCTCAGAAAGACAAACCAGCTCCAGTGAAGCAAAGTCAGCCAGTGAGAACTTTTTTTCCATTGGGACCTGATTTTTCCTTGAATGATAAGCCACAGTCCATCAGACCTGTTCATGCTAGTGAACCTCAAGGTCAGCGATATACTCTGGAGGAGATCCAAGTGCTTAGGTAAGGGAGGAAAAATATATCCTGCAACATATTTATATAAAATGTAGTTTCTAATCTAGGCTGCAATCCAGTTTATTGAATAGGTTAGCTTTTAAATAAATGTCTGTAGAATTTCATGCTGAAAAATACTATCCTAGAGATAAATGCAGCAGAATGTCTATATAAACTCCATTTGTTATTTCATGATTTTTTAAAACCAGCATGCAGACTTGCTCATAGATAAGTGTATTCAAAATATCAGGAAGTGGGTCACATTTTCTTCAGGAAGCAAATGAAAGAAGAAAAACAGTTGCTAATATTACGGTCTGAAACTTCCTTCATGCCCAGCTCTGCTCTGGGTAACTTACATAGACACATCCATATAGTTTTCCTGTCTTAGGAGAGAAGAAGTTTGTTGTTGCCACCTCCAGGTTGCTTTTGCCCATTGTCTAATCTGACCATTAGCCCTGAAATTCCCAGGTAGTACCTCATCCAAGCTGCTTAATTTTCTTCATTAAATAAATTCAGCTAGATGCTTCTGCTCTTTTTGGAGATTGGTATAATATTGCATAGTAAATAGCTGAATCAGCTTTCTTCAAGCTGCTCCCTATTGGATGGGATGGGCTGCAGATATTTAGAATAACAATGTTCGTGGAGATTTGAGGAGTTGGTACTCATTGCATGATGGGGGCAATACATGGGAAAGGCTAGGTCTAGTTGATCTAGAATCACATATCTACATGTTTAAAACAATTAAAAGTAGTGTTTTGTTTAAAGCTATATAGGTAGTCTTCAGTTGGGACAGGAGTTTCCATTGTTAAGCAGGGAGGTTGTTAAGTGAATTGTGCCACTGGAGTTTTTAAGCTAATCATGTGGTAAACAAATCTGGCTTCCCCCATTGACTTTGCTTGTCAGAAGCGCTCCGGGAAAAGTTGCAAATGGCAATTACATTACCCCAGGTTGCTGCAATCATCGTAAATACATGTTGGTTGCCAAATGCCAAAAATTTTATCAGATAATCTTGGGGATGCTGCAATAGTCATAAGTGCAAGAACTGTTGTAAGTCACTTTTCCAGTGCCATTGTAACTCTGAACGGTTGCTAAATGAATGGTTGTAAAGTGGAGGATTGCCTGTAGAAGCATCTAAGAGGAAATGCTGCAGGAACTGTGGCCGTTTCAGTTGAAAGAAATAGAGCAGCCTGGTTGTCAAAAGTTTTTTTTTCTCTTTAAGAAATCCTTTATTACTGGACATTTCCACATTAAATTAAGGTAGAAATGTCTAAGACTGACTTGGGAAAAAAAAGAGAAGTACAAAATCTGTAATCATTAAGTGCCCTATGGCAGGGGTCCCCACCCCTTGGTCTGTGGACCACTACCTGTTTGCGGCCCATTGGGAATTGCTGCAAGTGGCTGGCAAATACGGAAAGCTCCATTTGCACAAGCGGCATGCATGCAGGCAAAACCATCCCTTCCTCCTGTCATCACTGCTGGTCCACTGAGCCAGAAAGGTTGGGAACCGCTGCCCTATGGCAAGCATTTAGTGGAAATAGTGGGCAATCATAGTATTTGAATATATGAAAATTCTATGGGCTCTTAGATTAGGAAGTTGAAAAAACTTCCTGGAAAAAGACCACAGCAACCATCTTGTAAGAAAAATACATGGATGTAGCCCTAGAAATTGTTTAATGGCAGCATTTGCCATAACCCAAGGGATCTAGGATCCTCTTAGCAGGAAATTTATTTAAACACAGTTTTTAAGCTTTTCAAAGTGAGCGTTTTTAATTATTCTATCACATACCTCCACTGCTTTGTCTCTTTGAAAGGTGGAATATTGGAATACTTTTAAAACAATATCTTGCTCTATAAACAGGACTTTCAATGCAAACTGAAGAAAAATTGTGCAGAAGGTCTATATGTTTGATTCAGATCTCATAGTAGGAAGGGACCTAAATACTAAGCAGAACAAATCCGCATTGGCATGAAGAGAAAGAAGTAGAATTTGAACAGTCTGTTTTTCTAACATCTTGCCCTTTGTATTTAGGAAGACATCAAAAATAAACAGCATTGAATACGTCCCTTTCATGAGTGTTGATCTGAGAGAACGTTTTGCTTTTCCAATACCTTTCTCGTAAGTTTATCTTTGTACACACCAAATACTTTTTTCACTGCTCACCTTTTAGAGCTTTCAGTATTGCTGAACTGTGATACTGTAATAAACTATAATTACTGATATGTATGCGTACTATATATGTATGTGTGAATGTGAAGATGGATGCATGAATGAAGAGCAAAAAACTTGCTCAACATCTGGTTATCAATAGCAATTTTTCAAATTGTGCTGTTTTGGAAAAAAATCATACAACTTTATGTACTATATGAATAATAACACATTAAGCAAATCTGAAAAATTGCTATGTGGTGCACATGAGTACATTAATCATGTTTTAAACATGGAAATTAGTAATACACACAAGCAATCTTTCTTCCTTGTGTTCTGACATTGGGGTTTTCAAAATGACTGATATTCTGATAGGCTTCTGTCAACAGGACAGATGTGGAAGAGGAGAAGCATCTGTATCTGCCTCTCTCTAGCCCAGTGTTTCTCAACCTTGACAATTTTAAGGCATGTGGACTTCAACTCCCAGAATTCCACAGCCAGCATTGCTGGCTGTGGAATTCTGGGAGTTGAAGTCCACATGCCTTAAAATTGTCAAGGTTGAGAAACACTGCTCTAGCCAGTTTTCTTTTTATTGGAAATATTCCCCCAAGGTTTATGACAGGAGAATTTAAATTTATGCCAGCAAATTATGTATCAGTTTGACAATCTGTGAAAGCAATGGTTTCTTGCAGTATATTTTCTAATGAATCTTTACCTTGCTAATTTTGGCTTCTTCCAGTGTCAGACTTTTGATGTCTGAAATAGTATAGCAGGAATTATTGCTCTATTTCCTCTTTTAAAGATAGAACTCTTTCTGGGTTTGGAGGGGAAAATCCCAAAAAAGTGGTCTTCTGGATTACCTCAAATAATAGTTGTAAACTCTATTTTTAAATTGCCAAGATTCTGCTCACCCTTTCTGTAAGTTAAATATCTCCCCAAAGACTATCTGCTAACACTTATTTACATGTTGTGCTGAGTTACTGAATAAGCCATAGTAGCTTTATTCCTACATAATATAAGGCCATAAATCATGGTTTATAAGCCATAAGGGTTTACCCACTGCACTATACTATAATGCAGACATGTCAAAGTCGCGATGTCAGATGACGTCGTGCAACGTATCGGGACAGTTTTGCCATTGCCGGCAATGGAGTGGGCGCGGCTTCCGGATGACGGGTTCCAGCCCATGGGCCAGCAGTTTGACACCCCTGCTATAATGTATTATGGTTAATCTTGGTTTAGCATGATGTAGATGAGGGAATAGTTTGTGTCTTCTTAGAGCCAGGGTAAGTTAGAGCAGGGCTTTTCAACCGGTAGTATGCATACCACCTGTGGTACTTTGCCACATGGTAGGTGGTATGCGACTGCTAGCCAAGTGTAGCAGGGGAGGGGAATGAGCCTAAGCAAGCCAAGCCTGAGGGAGAGGCAGCTGCAGCTGCATGACTGACTGCTCAGCAGAAGCCCCAGGAGCCAGCAGGGCTCCAGCTGATTGGCTTCAGCTGATTGGCATTTCTGGAAGCAGCTCAGAGCTGGAGGTGAACTGAAGAAAAAGGGGGGGGAAGAGAGGCTATAAAAGGAGGTGGTTTGGGTGAAGGTGGGGGAGGGGGAGGGGGAAAAAGACAACAGGAAAGGTTTAATCCCTTTAAACAAATGAAATTAGTTTTACCCCCTTTAATTGAGTCTGTCTGTGGCTTTTAGAAAGTTTTCTTTGAAGGTAAAAAGGCTTAATTTGAAGCTAAAGCTTTTTGCAATTGCTGGAGCCTTTCAGTCTAGGATTGCAACATTATGACACGTGACACGCCTGAGGCAGCTTAAAGAGGGGAAAAAATGGAGGCTTATTTTGTGAGCCTTTCTTGCTTTGCACTTGATTCCTGTGTCTTTAAGGGTACAGGGACGGGATTGAGGGGGTGCATTCTTACTACACTGTGGAAGAGCTCAGAAGGGAGAGAGGAAGAAGGGCCGACCAGCTAGCTCAGGAATCTACAAACTTAGCAACTTTAAGACCTGTGGACTTCAGATCCCAGAATTCCTCAACCAGCCATGAGGGCTGAGGAATTCTGGGAGTTAAAGTCCACAAGCCTTAAAAGTGCCAAGTTTGAAGACCCCTGAACTAGCTGGTAGTGGTGCGTATTAATAAACAAGGGTAAATTCATCCTACATTTGTCAGTGCAAAGGGAAAATGATTCAGCAAAGGAACAGCCACCAAAGAAATTAAAACTGGTACTTTTTTACTTTTTTTCTACAGTTTGTAATATTTTATTAGATTATAGAATAAAATATAAAAATACAAAAGCAAATAGTAGGACACAGTGGGGAGGGAAAGTGAGGGGGAGAAGGGAAAAAGAACAGACTTCCTCTGTTACAGTAGAAGGAAGCATTAACACTGAACCTCAGCTTTTTACTTTTTCATAATATTATAAACTAGCCATTTCTATAACAACAAATGAATCTAATCAGTAAAACCCAAAATCCCCTCCCTTTTTTTTTAGTCATCAAGTTTTTGACACCTTGCTAAGCATTGGTGGTACTCAAATATTGTCATGTCCTAAAAGTGGTACAATCTGTGAAAAGGTTGAAAAGCCCCGAGTTAGAGGATGTATGTGCAAGGACCCAAGAAGTTAAAAAAAAAATAAAAATCAGAAAATAAGGAATGTTCTATAATAAAGAGACTAGTTTGACTGAAGTGTAACATGTTCTAATTCAGATTAGGAACTAAATGGGTTTTATTAAGACCTGGGAAGCTAAGAGCAAAACCATAAAAACGTAGTTGTTGGTCGCATGCACTGAAAATACTTAGATTTTATTTTTAAAAAAATCCTGAACAATAATATTAAATGATATTTACTAAGTATAATATACTTACCAAGTAGTTTTGATTTCAGAGATAAACGTGGCCCGTTGCCTTTGTCTCCTAAGCAAAAGGCCGTGTTTTCCCGGTGGATACGGCCAAACGATATAACAAATAATCCCACTATGATCTATACTGTGTCAAGCTTCAGCATTAAACAGGTAAACCTGATTTTTTTTTGTTTCTCTTTTTATCTTTTGTCTGCAAATTTGCTTTCTAGTATATATTGTACATTTACAGTTTTGTGAAAGTTTAACAATCACAATTGGGATTGGCAACTCCATCTCTAATCAATATGGATATTAAGTTAGACAACACATCACCATTAACTTGCAGTTTTACTGCTGCTTTTCCATTAATTCTGTTTTCAAAAGCCACCTGTGAAATGCACAAATAGTAATCACATGAATATAGGACAATACAGCAACTATAAATAAATGCAGGTTGTGAAGCGCTGAATCTCAATCACATGATCATGGAGACATTGCAGTAGTCGTAAGAGCAAGGATCAGTAGTAAAGTTACTTTTCCAGCATCATTGCAACTTTGAACAGTCACTAAACAGAGCAGTCACTAGATAAGATATACCTGTAATTTCACCTATATTTGTTTTTACCGGAAAAAGAAGACTGGATGTTGCCTTACTCGGTCTCTTCTTTCTGTTTGCAAGCCCTGAAGCTTCAGTGTCTCTTCTCTGGTCTTATCACCATCCTGTGTTAATAGGCTCCAGGAATATTGTCCAAGAGTAGAACCGCTGTTCCATTTGCAGACTCAGACCCAGTAAAGCCAGTTGTCTCATGATAGTGAATGGAAAGGAAGGAGAAGAGAGGAAGAGAACTAGTGACAATTGTTATCATTAAAACACATGGAGAATACTTTTGAAATAAGTTTAAATCTGTCAGAGAATTGACAGGTTTCTAACTCAACTGAGGAAATAAAAATAGCTTTCAGTTTGATCAAAGTTGTCCCTATTATTATGCTGAACTGTAAGAACTAAATTCCTGAATTCTGTTTGTATTTGTTTATTGTTTTTGGTTCTTAGACAATTGTATCAGATTGTTCCTTTGTTGCTTCACTTGCTATCAGTGCAGCTTATGAAAGAAGATACAACAAAAAATTGATTACAAGGTACAATTTTTTCTACTCAGTAACATGCAGGAGTTTTCTTTAATAATTTTATTTGTTGCCAGTAACACTTAATTTGGGATGCACTTTATTCTGATTTAAACTTTAGAAGTCAATAGCTTTGATTTTAGATGACAGTTTCAACATAGTTTGTCAAATTGCTTTTTCATTTAATGTGTACAGTATTTCTCTGGATTTCTGATCAAGTCCTAAAGGAAAGAGATAAATCATTCAAAGGTAGAATGAAGACCTGTTATAGAAAAAAAGTGACTTTGTGTAGGAGATTCTGTAGTGCTCATTATAGTTGTTTCACAAATATCACAGATGTTTGTCAACAAATGCTTTCATACTTGCATTCTAAATTTAACTGCAATATATATAAATTTTGCTTTGCACAATCTTGTGAGTATTGTCTTGTTCCCCATTCTTCAATGGGACCCTAAGCTAGTGGTTTTTCTGCCTGAGGAACTTTAAGATAGGTGTTCCCATTCTGGCAGGGGGAATTCTGGGAGTTGAAGTCCATCCATTTTTAAGTTCCTAAGACTGAGAAAGAATGGTCTGGTTACAAGGTTTAATGTTAGGTTCCTGCATATCAGTGGCAATATCTGAATTCTAAACTTAAAAATTTCAAGGTAAATCTGTTATAAGTTCCTTCTTTGATTTTTAAGTTGTTTAATTGGGTGATGCTATAATTTTGTTTAAAAAAAATATGCCCAAAAGTAAGTTTTCCATAAAAGTGAAAAGCAATAACAATCTATATTTGCTATTAAGTTCTTTTGGTAAATGCTACCCTTGTGCTTCATTCTCAGAGTATTTTACTTTTTCATATAGTATTTTCATTTCTAACATTTTCTAGCGTAATTTCTGAGTTTTTGGTTAATGATGTAGAGCTTAAATCAGGGTCCCTGGGCCACAACCCACTACTGATCGGAATCAGGAATCAGATCAGAATCGGAATCAGGTCGTGCAAGTGGCAGGCACGTGCACACAAAGCTCCACTTGCGCACATGGTAGGCGCTCATGCTCACATGTGCAACTCCATTTGTGCGAGCAGTGGGTACTCGCACTCACATGTGAACTTCATTTTTGCAAGCGGTGTGCGTGTGTGCCACTTGCACAATTGAGCCACTTGCACGAGCCTGTCTCTCGCATGAAACCATTCCCTCTTTCCCCCCCCTGGTCGCCAAGCTGGAAAGGTTGGGACTGCTGGCTTAAATTATGTATATCCAATATCTACAGAATGTAGTCTAATTTTTATTCATGTTTTTCTCAACATAGCATCATTTACCCACAGAATAAAAAAGGAGAACCAGAATATAATCCATGTGGAAAATACATGGTCAAGCTGCACATCAACGGTGTCCCTAGAAAGGTAGAGATTTAACAAGATTTTATAAGCCCTCTATCCCATCATCCAATGGGTTTCTAACAGTCTTGTTGTAGCTTGCTTCTGCAAACCTTCCTTTTGTAATAATTTCCTCAAAAATCTTACCAAAAGGATAATGTTTGCAGTTTTGCTTTGCATATTTTTTGATCTTGTTCCATATATTTTGACCAGGTGGTCATTGATGATCTGTTACCAGTAGATCACAGTGGAGAACTTCTATGCTCCTATTCAAACAACAAAAATGAGCTCTGGGTATCATTGATAGAAAAAGCTTACATGAAAGTCATGGGAGGTTATGATTTTCCAGGTTCAAATTCGGTGAGTAATATGTAATTCTTGGCAAGACGTTAAAAAAATTAGGCTGACAAAATATCCCTTAGTAGATAATTTTCCTTTTAATCTAGTTCAGTTTTTCTCACTGCTGTGGCCTCCAGGTATTTTGAGGGACAACTGTCAACGAGGTTAAGGATGATAAAATTGTACTCCAAAAAGATTGTAGTCTAAAAACTACAAAGTACAAAAACTGCAAAAATTGTAATTAAAATTTGAAATTAAAAAGGCAAGTTACAAAGTTGAGATTAAAACTGTACAATTAGAAACTCAGTACAAAAAAATTGTATAAAAGAGATTGTAGTCCCCCAAAAGTATGTAGTTTGTTTAGTAGGGTTGAACATGAAATGTGTGCTTCAATGTAAACATAGTAGTGAGAATACTTGGCCTTATTACAATCACATTTTAAATTTAATCTCTGTAATTGTCAAAGAACCATTATATTTGCCATCCAACAAAGAAGAAAGAAAGGAATTGACTCGTGTAATACAATTCTATCTTATTTGAAAACTAATACAAAATGTAAGATTACTATTCTGTTTCCTTATATGCCTGCATTGGGGGAAAAGGAATTTTGCATAGATGTAGAATTATTATTGAAATGTGTGGTTATCAATAACTGCACTTCCCTAGAAGTATGATTTCATTAATCTGAATTGTACATTTTTTCTTGGTGATGACAGAATATTGATCTTCATGCATTGACTGGTTGGATACCTGAGAGGATTGCCATGCACTCAGACAATCAAACATTTAACAAGGATAGTTCTTTCAGAATGCTTTACCAAAGGTAATTTTTGCTGATTTCCCAAAATGTTGTTACAGTCACAGTGTTGTAAAAGTTCAAGGTTGGTTTTTTTAATACACTGTGGATCCTGGTTTTTTTGAATGGCTTCCAGGAGAAACAGTGCCTACATAAGTAGGTGGTTGAAGAATGAAACTGACTAAGTATAGGTACATGCCAATGCAACTCAGAGATCTTCCTGAACTTGTGACTCCTATTGAATGTGGAAGTGGAAGCCATGGCCAAGGGACTCTTTGTCAAGCTGCTATGTAGTATGCTATTTTTGGCCCAACCTCAGATGAGAAGACCTGGCTACAGTGACTCATGGCTTCATCAGCACTCAATTGACCTAAAATGCAGCACCCTACATGACAGTTATTGGATGGAGTATATTATATCTGTATTTACCTGCACCTGTACAAGTCCTTGAATTTGTTTTCTCTTGGCTTCTACATGCATGTTAATCTTTAAACCTGTTTGTATCTTGGTTCCAAGATACCTTCAGGACTGTCCCACTAGAATTGGCCTGACTGATTCTTTTTGGGAAAAGCAGCTGGTGGTTCCCCATTTTAGGAAGATATATGATGGCCAAAACACAGAGATGCGGTCCTGAAAGTAATATCTATGGGACAGTCTGAGGCAGAATTATAAAGAATCCAGTTCCAGAGGTGAAGATGAAAGTGTGCTATGTTTAATGTTCCAGGATTCAGTGGCCAGGGATTGACATAAGGGACTGGCTAAATTAGAAATATTGAGAAACAAGGGGCGAGTGGGTGAAATTTTCCCCATTATTTCCTAGAATTTTCTTGGATATCTGTAGTAGCCATCATGCAGTTATATTTTCCAAAATAGTATCTGTGTTTTTTTCTTTAGAAAACTAAATAGGAGGCAATGAATGGGAGAAGCATTAGCAGCCATGTCTAAAGTAAACTTTTTGTTGTTGGCCAGATTTCACAAGGGAGATGTGCTTATTACAACAGCTACAGGAGTGATGACTGATGAAGAAGGGGAACGGTGGGGTTTAGTACCAACCCATGCCTATGCCGTTTTGGATATTAGAGAATACAAGGTAACTCTGAAATAACCTTTGGACCTACTCTTATGGTTGACATGACTTGCTTTTTTTTTTTAATCTGATCTCTTGTACTGCTGCTCAAACTGAGGGAAAGACAGATGTTGAAAAATCTGTCCAATTAGTCTTTTTTGGTCCCAAGCATTTTGGGATTAAAATGCTTAAAATAATGGAATAATGTTACATTGCAGAGGTGACACCTTAGTTCCTTTTTTGAAGCCATTGGAGCCCTCTTTCCTGTCTCACCCCTGAAATTTGGTGAGGAAGATTTACAAATTTTCAGTACTTCTTAGAAACAAAATAAACCTCAAGTTGTTTTGATATACTGAATGGCCTTAAAAAAATGTCCATGAAAAGAAAAATCCTAAAAACATCACCCCTGCTTTCTGTGATATTATATGTCCTCTCCATAGCCCTCATGTGACCCCCGCCATGGCCCTTCTCATCTACAGTGGTTGAATTCTTTCAAAAACAGAATTGCCGGTTTCCGATATTGCAGTATAATGCTATTAAAAATCTGATTTTTATCAGATCATTCTAGGAATTAAATGGCAGAGAGAGAAACAGATAGAGATCTTTATTGTAATCCATGATCAATAAAATTAATGACATTTAACTTATTGTCTTTATTCTCAAAAAGAAATATATTATAAAGTCATATTCTGTGTCTCCTCTTTTCCAGGGTCTCCGCTTCCTCCAGTTGAAAAATCCCTGGAGCCACCTACGTTGGAAAGGGAGATACAGTGAAAATGATATCAAGAGCTGGACTTCTGAACTTCAGAAATACTTAAACTTTGATCCCAGAACAGCTCAAAAAATAGACAATGGTAAAAGATCAAGATGATTTGGGGGGGCGGGGAACCCAAGGCTACAAATAATTTGTTTCTCTTGGTACCCCTTTGTGGTCCAAGAGAAAAATTGCAGATGGCAGAGTATCATATCTCTCGTCAATCTGAAATAGGATTACAATCAAGGATGGTCTTTTGCAAGAGAGAAAAGCAGAGCTGTCTGAATCACTGAGAGAATCTTCTGCTTGATAACTGTTTAGGGTCCCCTTGCAGGGCTAAAACTTTTCCAAGGCTATTAACGACATATGATACAAACTAGTGCATATTTACCGGAGATAAAGTAAGGAGTGAAGTAGGAGGTTAATACTGGAGTAATTGAAGTACTGAAGTAAGGAGGTTAATACTGGAGTAATTGTGAATAAGAAATTGTAACTTCAAAGGAAAGTTTTATCTGGATAAAGTTGTTGATGAAGTTAAGCATCTCCACTTAGATTTGGCAGAGGAAAGGCAGTGAGTGAAAACCAGCGTAGTTTAGTTTATCATAGCAGCTAAGGAACCTATGTGTGACCAGGGAGTTCACAAAGTGATTTGGGGCAAGTCCTGCTTTTGTTCATCCTAATTTATGCTTGCTAATCTCACAGATTTAAGGTGAAATATAAATGTAAGAAATAACACAATACAAGAAATAAGGGATGAATTTTGCTTTATTAAAAATTGGAATGAGAGATCAGTTTTAAAAGATCTTGATAAAATTACACATAATTTCTGCAATTGTAAAAACAAAACAAACACTGAAATGCATTGTATTCAAGTACTAAACTGAAACCTATTGCCACTTTTAAATAGGTGGAAGATTGTAGGCTGATTTGATTTAGGAACTTCTCAGACTAATGTATAATACAGTCTTTCAATAGTGTGCATGCATTCTGGGAGTAAGTTTCACTGAATTCTTCGGAACTTATCTTTGAGTAAGAATGCCCAAGATTGCAATAATCTTTAATCCTTTTTTCCTACTATTTGATAATTTAATATTCAGTCACTGGTATTGGATAATAACTCATTGGTAAAAAAATTAAAACATTTTTATCTGCATGTTTTTCCTTATATAGGAATTTTCTGGATTGCCTGGGAAGATTTATGCAAGTATTATGATGTTATTTATTTGAGCTGGAATCCAGGTCTTTTTAAGGAATCCACCTGCATTCACAGGTTTGTCCAATAGAAAAGGATATAAAATGCTTATTCTTCCTGTATACTTATTGCAAAGTGTGGAGATGGAAATAGCAGGCATGTTAATTTATTAGCCTCCCTTAGCCTAACATTCAAGTATTAATCTGTGATATTGAGAGCAAGTGGTATCTTTCATGAAAAGAATATTTAATTGTAATTGTTGAATTGCAATTTTTTAAAATACTCATAACTCTATTTCTGCATTTCTCTTTTCTGAACAGTACCTGGGATGCAAAACAGGGTCCTGTGAAAGATGCTTACAGCCTGGCTAATAATCCACAGTACAGGCTGGAGGTTGAGTGCCCACAAGGTGGCGCTGCGGTCTGGGTTCTACTCAGTCGACACATTACTGACAAGGTGTGTTCATCACTTTTCCAAATAACTTGTAAAGGAAGCAAAGTTCAGCTCTAAGATGGGGGTGTTCTTTATGACAATTGAGTTACCAGAAAGATAGCTCAAATATGAAAAACATATTTGATGCATATCTCCATATTCAACAAAATTGCAGTGTTCTTATGCCTGATCACACAACACTGTGTCCAATCACAGTGGTACTTGATTAACTGCTGTGTAAACTAAACATGAGCAGAAGGAAGAATGAATGGGCTCCTTTAGCCTTCCATCCCCACAAGGATAACCAGGTTTTATCTCATTTCGGATTCCAATCATAGTTCAGGGACTCATGATAAAGATTTGGAATTCATATTTATCTTGTAAAAAGAAAGTTTATTTAAAATGAAGATGCATTTTCCCTATCCAGAATTTACAATCCATTAATTGGGCATATTCCAGATCAGTTGGGCTACTAGCTTATGGCATTTTAGCTCTGATGTGTGACTATTAAGGAACCTGAAGTCCAAAAAAAATCAGAGATACTTAGATATGGGGAGGCTGCTGGATTTGGAAGGTCTAAAACAATTTATTATAATTTAGGCAAGGAAGAATGTTGAATGAAATCATAGCCATAAATAGGATATAAATATTTGGTTTTGAGGATTAAAGTGATTTTTGTAATCACTTTTCTATAGGATGATTTTGCACACAACCGGGAATTCATCACAATGGTGGTCTATAAAACTGATGGGAAAAAGGTGTACTACCCTGGTATGTATATCAAAATTCTCTTTCCTGCACATAATCTCTTTCCTACAGCTTTCCTTTCCTCTTGACTAATTGTTGAAGAAAGATAGGAAGCTTGGATATAACTTTGGGTGAGAAATATGTTTGCTAACCACAGCATCCACTAGGACTAGACAAGATGATGGCCACATCATGATACTGGACATAAAATGGTCAGAGCTTCAATCCTATTGGCACGGCAATCATAAAGTTTCATTCATCTTAAAATATATTTTTATTGATTTCTTGAATTGAAAATGTGGACTAGAAATGTTAAGATCTGCCCATCTCTCCATGTTTTGATGCAGAGAATTTATTTTAGAAAGTTAGTGCTATATTTATGCTGCTTCACTATTAGTACCCTAGTAGAATATTAATTTATTACTTATATGAATTAGAGTAATTTCAGATTGGTCTATTCTAAATTATTGTTAAATACAAATGAACTTTTTTTATTTTCAGCTGATCCTCCACCATACATTGATGGAATTCGAATCAATAGCCCCCACTATCTAACCAAGATAACGCTCACTTCTCCAGGCACTCATACATTTACACTTGTGGTTTCTCAGTATGAAAAACAGAACACAATTCATTACACCCTCAGGGTAAGTATATATGTAATCTTTTAAAAATATTAAATCGAAATCATTAGCACTGCCACATCTTCAACTTCCGTGACTTCCATTATGAAAAATATTATGCCTGTGTAATAAGCTTGATAATGACCATCGGTCTGCCTCTGATTAAGATAAAGTTACCACCAAAATCCAATGTGACTTTGCTTTGCCCAGAGCTCACACAAGTTGAGCTGCACGCATTTGCGTGTGTGCTGGCGCATCACTCACGCAGCCCGGTTCCCTTCTCCCAGCCAAGCCACAAAAGTTGGGGACCACTGTATAAAAACTCTATAATCGTATAGCTTTTCAGTGAGAAGAAATCAAAATTATATAGTTCCATTCAGTTCCAGCCTTGTATTTTTCCGAATACACTTCTTTTTTCTTGGGAGTATGAATCTTTCTGGGTTAAAGATTAATTTCTTCTTGATCTTAGGTGTATTCAGCATGCAAGTTTACCTTTTCTAAGATCCCAACACCGTATACTGTATCAAAAAGGGTAAGAAATAATTACATTTTGAGCTTAAACTTTTACTAATACCTCTTACACAAACCTAACTATTTAAACGTTAGGTATCTACAGTCATACAAAGTAAGATAGAGTTTACTTGCAGTCTTCTTTTGTGGGTTTTTATTACATAATATTGCATTATCTACTCCTTGGATTAGATTGAATAGAAAAGCTGTTCCTAAGCTGACGTGTATTGGGATGCATGATAGTCGAAGAACATTTGATTGCATGATTGGAATTGTTTAGTCTAGCCAATTTTAATAGCATGAATGTAATATAATTGCAAATAACCTTTGAAGTTCTATGCTAGTCAGAATGGCTCCAATCTCTTCTAGAATAGCTCATTGGCTGAAAATTCTGGTCCCAACATATATAGAGGTCACCAGATTAGGAGAAAACATCTATAATGTATAGTATTTCTCATTAATCCACTGTTAGTAAGTTTCCGTAGCCTTTTCCCAGGATTAAATGATCCCTCACAGTTTTCTCTGATGTATTATTACCAGTCAGATTATAGAGAGATATGAGCTAGAAAGCAGCCCGATGATCAGGAAAACGTGGTTTGTGTTCCTGCTTCAAATCCAATTTCCCTTTCTGGAACATCTATTCTTGTGTCCCTAAAAGTATGTATTAAGCATGGCATCAAATTAAGTCTATGTGATATGCTGAAGAATGAACTTTATCTTTTAAAATGAATAATGAGGACTGATTAAGTAGGAGAGATAAAATTAAATTGAAAGTTTTTTTAAGAAAGAAGAAGAAAATAGATGTTCTAGCTGAGAAGCTCTTGGGGTAATTTTCTTTCAGGTGAATGGACAGTGGAAAGGTCGCAGCGCTGGAGGGTGTGGAAATTTTAGAGATACTTGCAAGAATAACCCTATATACCAGTTTCAAGTAGACAAGACTGGGCCACTCCTGCTTGAACTAAGAGGACCAAGGTCTGTATAGTGTTTAATGATTGGAACAATACAGTTAACCACTTATAGATAAGACTTGCAGTTTCAGACTTAAAAATATTTATAGATTCACCAGTTGGAATTATGCTATCCCTAATTTTCAGCCCATATTATCAGCAATTAGAAATAAGTAGTGGTTTTTAAAAGAATTATTATGTTCAAATTCCGAGCTCAATCCCAAACTGTGAGGCTGCCTTCATACATCATATTTAGCTATAAACAATGATTACAGATTTCAGTGACTAGATTCGCGTGGCACCTTTGGGAAAAGTTAAATACTGTTATGACTTAGCACAAACTGTGAATCAAATATGCATCCAGATAGAATCAGAGAATATACACCATTTTTGAAAAGTTCTAATTTTGATTTAAACTTAGAAACCTTCCAACTTCTGATTCATTTATAGGCAGTACAGTGTTGGACTTGAAGTTGTAACAGTCTCTTCAATAGGAGATCCGGGATCTTTGGGTTTTCAGAAGAAAAATAGTGGTGATTACAGGTAATAGCTCATCTGATTTCTGCATATTTTATCGCTGTCATATGAGATGCTTGTACTATATTATCTTCTCTCTGTATTTAACTTTCCAAGGTGTGGCTTTTGCTATCTGGAAATTGAGAATATACCTCCTGGTACTTACAACATTATTACAAGCACTTTCCTCCCACAACAAGAAGGGCCATTTTTCTTGGATTTCAATACTGCTACCCCTCTTAAAATATCACAGCTGCAATGAAGTTACCTGCAAAAACATTTTTAATAAAAATAGCAAACTACAGCTGTCACACTGAAGAACTATCTAAGAACTTACCTGAGAAAATGTTTATATGAGATACATAAAAGGAATGTGGACTGTCATAAGAAGAATTGCACCCTGAAATTAGAGCAGCCTAATATTATCTTTATGGTTGCAAAACAAAGTGGAAAACATGACTTCTGTAATTTGTGCTGTGGTAAAGTTGAGGCAAGTAAAAAAAATTGCTCATGTACTCTGATACTTAATTTTAATGGCTTTGTTTATACAGAATTGGCATTTTATATATATTATGGAATTTTAAATTCCATTTTCCTCATCAGTTTGTTTTTCTAAGTAGTATGTCAAACAATTCAATTCTACCTGCTTAATAATGGAATAGTTGTCCTAGAAAAAAATGGTGGAACCAACGAACCATTCAAGGGGTGTGCACAGCATCGACATCTTCCCACAACATATCCTCAGGGCCATAGCCCTTCAGTCCACTAAATATTGCAAACGTCCCCGGCAAACATGGGAATCCACAATGCGCACCACCTCATATTCCGGCTCCCCATGCACTAATACTGACTCTGGCGGGGGCTCACCAGCACAGCAGGCATAAGCAAGGACTGACCGGTAGAATACCAGATGGATGCACATTTGGGCAGGCGGGGTCAGAGGGTATGCCACTGAGTTGACCGCTTCCACTGGAAATGGGCCTAGGAAGTGGTGATCAAGCTTGCAGGACGGTTGCATTGTGGATATGTGCCAGATGGAGAGCCAGAGGTGGTCACCAACCACCAAGGGAGGCACATCTCAATGTGTTGATCCATGAAGTTTTTATAGTCTTCCTGGGCCTGCTCCAACTGTTTCTGTAACACTCGGTGATAAGTTCTTGCAAGAAATCCGCAGCTGCAGGCACCAGTGAATCCACCGTGGTCAGAGAGAACAAACGCAGATGAAATCCAAGAACGGAGAAGCATGCTGGGCATTGTATGAAAACTCCGCCAGCGCCAGCAGATTCCAGTTGTCCTGGAGGAAATTCACATAGTAATGCAAATACTGCTCTACAGTGGCATTCATCCATTCCATGGCTCCGTCCGTCTCTGGATGATGCAAGGATGACAGACATACCTACACCTGTATAAGTTCCAAGAGCACCCACCAAAACCAGGCCATGAACTGGATACCTCGGTCTGACACAATACACTCAGGTAGGCTGTGCAGCCAGAAGATGTGACAGCCGTGCTGTCTCCTGTGCCATGGGCACTCCCATGCACGGCACGAAATGGGCCATCTTGGTGAGCATGTCCATCACCACCATCGTGGCTCCCTGCGAATTCAGGAAATCAGTGACGAACTCCATGGATACACTTCCCCAAGGCCTCTCCATTTTTCTTTAAGAGCACTTTCTAAAGTTAAATGATATTTCTTCTTTAACTGAAGGATAGTTAACCCATCATCAACCTTGTAAGAGTGCAGATCAAGTTGATATCCAAGTATATTCAGCTGATTTTTCTGAAGTTCAGTGTCATTTTCAAGTTTTTCTTTCAAACTCCTTTCTTCATCCACATTTCATTCAATAGTGCCTCAATTTTTCCATATCAGGGAGGCCAAACCCCCCCCCTTTCTTTTGAATCCTGCAGTAATTTTAATCTAATCCTTGCCTTCCTTCCCTGCCAAATAAATTTGAGAACAATTTTATTAAGATTTTGAAAAAATTTCTTGTCCAATTTTATGGGTATGCATTGAAACAAAAATAAAATTTTCGGCAACACATTCATTTTAATTACTGCTATTCTGCCCATAAAAGAAAGTTGTAAGTTGGTCCAAATCTTCCTCAACTCTGGTTAATTCTTCTTCTAACTGTCTTAATCGTTGTGTTTTGATTTTGTTTTCCCTGGCCATGTAGGAAATTGCCACACCTCTCATACGCTTTGGCAGTATCCCATAAGTTTTGGCAGTTCGTGTCAAAACTTCCCCAAGGCCTCTCCATTTTTCTTTAAGAGCCCTTTCTAAAGCTAAATGATATTTCTTATTTAACTGAAGGATAGTTAACCCATCATCGACCTTGTAAGAGTGCAGACCAAGTTGATATCCAAGTATATTCAGCTGATTTTTCTGAAGTTCAGTGTCATTTTCAAGTTTTTCTTTCAAACTCCTTTCTTCATCTCTTGTGGAAAACGAAAGAACTCTTACGAATTCCAGAGGGGTTAGCAGAGAAGTTTATTTGCGCAAGGTCCAGAGCATATTAGAGATAGGCAATTCTGAATGAGGAGGGCGTGATTAGACTTCAGTTTTTATACTCCCCTCCTTAAAGAACAAAGGGCTACACATTGAAATACACACTGTGATACATTAGGAACGTTTCTCACAGGCATAGAATGGAAGGTTTTGCTACATACAAAGTATCCATGTGCAGAGCGCATTTGGTTGCCACATATTACTGACAGAGAACTTTCCCAGTGAATTNTTGCAGTTATGCAGACAAATCATTATTCTAATAATTGTTCAATTTACTATATTATTCCCCCCTTTGGAAGTTTTCTGGCTTAAACTTCCACTATTCGTCCTCCAAGTCAGGATCTTTAGAGGGCAGCATTTTATATTCACATAAAGTTAACATTGTTTCATGTTTTGCAGTTAATTGAGCTGTACTTTCCGAGATTCTTTGAATCGTTGCTATAACACAAGGGAGTAAGCAGGGAATCAAAATACATCCTAGAATTAATAATATTGTTATAACTATGATGGTTTGTAGGCCTGGTAACTTTGGCCACCATCCTGAAAACATGTCTTCGAAATTAAATCCATTCCAGGTTTGTATCGGAACATGAGCTAGTTTGACCATGCTGTCTGTTATGTCTTTCATCACTTTTCCACTTTCATCTATTTCGATGCAACAGTTTGTTAGGTTGAATTTTCCACATACTCCTCCTTCTTTGGCCAACAGATAATGCAAGGCTAACCTGTTTTGCATAATATATGTTCTGGATTTCACATTTTCTTTGGCCAATTCAGTTAGTCCTTTCACAGTCTCATTGGTAATTAACTCTACCACTGCTTGTAATCTAATGATTCTGTTGATCATGTAAATAGAGGTACGGTATCCATACATCCCATCCTGAGCCCATGTAGCTGGGCAATAGACTAGGATGATGCGGCAAGGTGGCCATTCATTTTCTTGCCAAGTGATTCCTATGCATTGGGTGTATGCACTTGGTTCCCTTTTTTGTCTTATATTGCCAATTTCATCATAGATGGGAACACCAAGAATTTGCTTTGTTTTTAATGGTAACAGGAAAAATCCTGTTACCTTCCATTGGTAGCGGGCAGTAGGCTGGGCATTATTAAATTCAGGAATGGTAAATGCAAAAAGATGCCTGTCCTTTATATGTAAAGGAATTGAGAAAAAACAGTCTTTCAAATCGATTATCATCATGTCGTAATCTTGAGGAATCAAATTAGGGTTTGGGAGCCCACACTGCAGCGCCCCCATGGGCTGAATAACAGTATTGACTGCACGTAAATCCTGCAATAAACGCCATTTGCCTGATTTCTTTTTTATCACAAACACTGGAGTGTTGTAAGCACTCAGTGATGGTTCTATGTGACCTTTTTCCAATTGTTCTTCAACCAGGGTTTTTAATGCCGTTAATTTTTCAATAGGCAGTGGCCATTGATCTACCCAGACTTATTCGCATTTTCATAAGCTAATTTTAACAATAGTTCCTCTCGAGCTGCTGCATTATCAATTTGCCTTTCTATTGTCAATTGGAGGCGGCTTACAAAATCTGCATAATTTTCGGTCGCCTGTTGGATAATTTTTGAAAATGTTTGAGTCTGGGCTGTAGAGGAATCATCTACCTTTTTTATTGCAGCCAATGTGCACTTGCTAATAACTCCAAAAGCCGCTCTATCAGATTGAGTTTGATTTGCTACTGTATTTAGGGTGCCAGTACCCAAAATGTGGTCTCTGGTCACATTAGCGTTGGGCAATCCTGCAGCAATAGCAATTTCGGCCTGTTTCTGATATTCCGACCACCAAATCACATATTGCGCAGGGATTAGTAGCATGTTAAACAACACTGCCAGTCAGCTAAAAGCATTTCCCTAGTGGCCGAAGTTAAAGAGACCAAAATCCCCTGTGTATAGCGAGCTTGTAAGCCATAAGTGGAGACAGCTAGTTTCAGTTCCTTTATTAATTTCATAGACAAAGGATTATAAACAGGAACAGCTGCTGCAGCTGCTGCACCAGCTACCGCATTCGCTGGGACTACGAAATCCACTGGATAGGCAGCACGGGCTTCTAGTTCATCACTATCCAGTTCTCCTTTGCTCCGTGCCTCTATCATGGCTCTTATAACATGTCCTCTGGTTGGAAGCGAGCCGGGTGGACAAGGAGAGATGGGTGCGGTGGGACCGGAGGCATTCTCAGAGTTCTGCAAAACAGGGTATACGGTTGCCTGTTCCTGTTTTGCGGATTTATACGGAGGAGGCGCAGAATCCATAGGCGTTTGTTTATTGAATTTATGATGGATTATTAGACATTCCATGACCACACGCCATGTGGTCAAAATGTGAATCGGGGCCCTAGGGGTCGAGTGGAAATAGTCCCCTAATTTCGTCCATGTACTTAATTTTAAACTCCCTTTTTCTGGGTACGATGGACATTGTTGCCAAATGTATGTCAGAAGGCCAATTAAATCCTTGTTTTTCAATCAAGGGAGAGACTTTCCCCCGTTTGAAGCTATTTTAATGGAGGATTCGGTCAGTTCCTTCAATTCCTTCTGGTGGGCCACCTGTTGTTGAGAGAACTTTCCGCCCATACTCACGAATATCCAGTCGTGTTTCAGACGGGACGAGCGTGCACAGCCTCCCTCAGGCGAGTGGGTATAGGCGGTCCGAGACGTATCTCCGCAGAAATCACGTCGGGGTCACCAAAATGTGGCGTTTGCCTTGCCACATCAGGGTGGGCCACTCATGGATCTTGACGAGCAAGTGACGACAACACACAGGTTTTCCTCGAGGTGAGTGAGCCCGGAGCGTGTTCTGAACTACTCTTTTATTAGTACCATATATAGGGAAGTAAATAGGTGCCATTATACAATTGGTTACATGCATAGGAAGTTAGTAGATGTTATTGTATAATTGGTTACATGCAGTTGCATAGCTTCTTCGCCTATGATTGGTTAACTTCTGCTGCATAGGATAGGGTTGCTTATATTGGGTTATATTATTCTTTATGCATAGCCT